TATGAGGCATGGGAGGGAAAAAAACAGGAGTGAGAAATATGATGCCGCAAAACTTCCACAAGCCATTACAGCTAATAAATAATAAAACTGGAGGCAAATTAAGAGAAGGAATGGAAACTGCAAAACAGTCCTAGAACGGGTGCCAGCTGCTCTCTGGAAAGATGGAGAGGTAGCGAGTGAGGGGCCAGAGACAGGAATTTTTCCAAAGGATCAAGGACATGAGGGGAGTCCCCCCTCGGCAGCCCTGGGGCAGGTGCAGGACCCACGGCTGGCGATGGGCGCAGGGGCCGGGGTTGCGCACGGCTCGGGGGGACACGAGGAGGCGTCCGGAGCGCAGGGCCGCGCTGCCCGGCCCCACGGCAGCCGCGCGTGTCCCTCGGTTCCACCGCAAAGCCCATGCGAGMCGGTGTTTGGGGGGGCTCTGGTATCTTGGGTTTTGACAGATGAACATGGAAAAAATTATATTGCTTCTAGTCTTATTACTTTATTTATGGGGGTATGTGAGAATTTAATTCCATTTTTTTCTGCCCAGCACATTTTGGCCTTCTCTATGCTTTTCTACATTGTGCAAAAATGGAGCCTTGCTACCCAACAGGATGCTTTGTCTATAGAAATATTTCTTCTCATGATGACTCTTCAGCAAATCAACAACTGGAAAAGGCTTGTGAGCTACAGTAGCATGTCTTGAGAAGGTGGGAAACTTGCCCAATTTGAGAGTCTCGAGGATTATTCAAGGAGTAAATAAAATCAGCATACTGCAACTTAGACCTGAATCAGGACATAGACAGGATTGGTGACTGTCCTCCTTGCTTTCAGACAGTGGAACAGCAGAGACTTTCTCCTGGGTAACTGTGCTTGTGCAGACACCTGACTTGACAGATATACGTAATTCTGAGCTCTCGGAAGCATTCCTGAAAGATTGTCCCAGGTTTGTGTAGTCTACCAGAAAGGCACACGTCACTGTCAAGGTATTTACTTGGGGGTAGGGAGGAGGAAAAGGATTGTGGTGGTCTTTGTTTTGTTTTGCCAGGTGTTTTTGGTTTGTTTTCATGTTTTCTTTTTTTTTTTTTTTGCTTATGTTTACAACCAAAAGTGGAAGAAATACACTTTCAAAAGATGCTACTTACAGGCAGAGATGGATTGCACAGCAAATCTTGCAGCTATAAAAGGGCCTGCTGGGGAATGAATTAGGAAAAATACGTGGAGGTAATTTACAGGAGAAACGCACTGAAAAAAAGTTGCTATCCCTGGTTCAGCACTGTCTTGTGTCCCCTTAGGAATGCCCTTGACACAAACCAGACATGCTGCTGCCCACTGTGTTGAGCTAATCTCCTGAGCTGTCATTTTTTCATCAAGCCCATCATCTGGGAGATGGGAAGAGTGAAGCTGCTCTCCTTCCCATTCCCCTCACAAGTCCCAGTATCCCTCAGCATCTTCCTGAACTCTAAAACACAAGAATTGATTTCATTTGGCTGTTGAACAACTAGACCTCATATTGGTGAAATCAATGAATTATTAATAGAAAGTAGAGCTTCATTAGGATGCCTGCAGCTCCACCATCACAGCCTTTCCCGATGGAGTTAATTTCAGCAAAAATATAAATGGGATTTGTCAGCTCCTTGGCTTTCATTGCRTTGTGTTCTTCTGGCTCCTCCCTGCTACTGGTGATGGCCTGAAGTAGTAGGCCACCAGAGAAATACCTAAGGATTAATTAATTGAATGCAGCTTCTGCGGAGATGCAGCCCTGGAGAGTGCTTGCAGCACTTGTGCAAAACGTCGTGCCGGCACAAACGGCCGTGGATAAGGAGTGAACAACGTGAACTGACRTGTTCTCTGCGGGATAGTGTCTCCTCCCTCTTAGTCCGAAGGGAGCACATCCACACTGATCCACAAGGCTTTGTGGTTAATGTGTTTTTGGTTCCCCCCACCATGTCTACTAACTCTCTCTGAGGTGGTCTGTTTCTTTAATGTGAAAGCTGCACCAGGAAGCAGCTCAGGGAGTCAGGGAACAGGTAAGCTCAGGATGTGCTGGCGGTGCCCGTTTCCATTCCTGCTTCCCCACTGGCTTCAAGGACTCTTGCCAAGTGATTCTGGCTGCCTTTGGTGCCCTTCAGAAACTCAGAAGTCTAATACTCCTTAGCAAGGCTACAGACAGTCCTCACGGGGACAAATTTAACCCCCGAAGTCTTGATTGTGGTTCATTTCAGTATCTACTCTCTTTGTAATGATTACCAAGATTCTGCCAATGTAGGGGTGAACAAAAGGGATGCTTCTTGATAAAAATTTCAGAAACTTCTCAAGATTTCTTTCCTTCCAGAGGCTGGAAGAGTCTTGTAGTCTGCTGACTTGTTATCCTAATGCATCTCCCGTGCTGCCTCTATCCTGAAAAAGTGAGCCCGTTGCCTTTAATTTTTATGTTTGGTTTGTAACAGCAGCATTTCCACGTTTGATCTATTCCTGTTTCAGCCTCTCTCCCTCATCTGTAGTTTATGCAGCCACTGAAGTTGTATCTGTGCACTTTGCAGGCAGAAGTTGCTGTGCAAGTTCACAGGGCCAGGGCTAGTTACACCCAGCACTGTCAGATCTCTGCCTTAGAAATCTGTGCTACCTTTCTGGCAGCACTAGATGAAAGACTGGTAAGGTAGCAAAGTTTCTGAGTGCTATGCAATAAGCAAAATGTAAAGAGAAAAAAGTTCAGTCTGTGTCTGAAAATGACGTTTTCTTTTTTAAAAAAAAAATCTTCAGAAAAAAATTGGAACTATTAGATCATTGCTTTATAATCAGTCTTTGCCTTTTTACAGAAGGGTATTAATACAAAAAATTAAAACTTAGTACTTGGTTTTTCAAAAAGGTATGAAGGAGCGAGCAAAGAGTTCAAATTCCACTCATTTTTGACACATTCAAAACTATCCTTTCTGCAGCAAAAAAAATGGGAGGCCTAAAATTATTAACAGTTATAATTCTTAACATTCTTACTAAATATTTGTGTTCTGTTAAATATTAAAAATGTTTTTATAGTTTATCTTTCTTCAGTAAAGGAAAGAAAAGAAAGAAAACTTCCTTCCTCCTTTAATCAGGACTTGACTTTGCCTCAATGCTGGACAGCAGAGGAGCGTAGCCCTCACACTGTATCTGCTGGGCTCTGAAGTGGTTTTGTGCAGTCACAGACTCACGTGCCCTCTTCCCTGCCAAACCAAAAATCTCCTAGACTTTCACTTCCTTCAGACTCCCCTCATCCTCTCTCTCCTTCCCAGCTCCAATCTTGCTGTCCAGCCAGCCCGGCTGTGCAGGACATTCACACACATGTACACCTCCTGATACGAGCTTACTTGCCAACACTTGTACAAAATACCAAAAGCAGGTAGGAGCCAGGGCTGAGCTGCATGAGTTTCCTTTTGCAATGCACCTGATTTGAAAAGATTTTCTCCCTCTCATTTTGGGCTGCTTTTCATCCAGCTCTGCTATTGGCAGATATCCTCACCTGGGCATTTGGGTTACAGAGGTTGGAAAGCAACACCCAGCCCAACATGCTCAAAGAATTTCCAAGCAGCTAAAAAATGCTGGGTTTAAGTTGGAAAAAGAGTTGATATAATTTAAATGGGAACAAATTTGATTTGAAACCTGCAAATTAGGATTCTAGAACATACTAAGAAACTCAGGGATTTAGTTAGCTTGCCTTAAAAAAAAAAAAAAAATTCCTATGAGCAGTATTAGCTGCCAAGCCATAATCCTGCCAAACTGAAGAATCCCTTGCTCAGCTGAACCTAGCATGTTGATGTAGCATCTTAAGTGAATTAGCTGGCATTGACAAGATAACATTTCTTATAAATAATAAACTCAACATTTATTTTCAAATCATCCTGACAATTTTCTTGGAAATCTGCAAATGCAGTACTTAGATTAACTAGCTGTGTCATTTGAAGCAGTGTTTTAATTTTCTGATACAGAGCTTGGAAAGATAACATCTATAAATCAGCAGAATTCCTATAGATTATAAAATATTGACTCTAATACAAAAAATCCGCTAAAGCAATAATCTAAGAAATACATATAATTTACAGACCTATTCACATTATGTAGTTTTTTTCTATTATTTTATGACTTTTGTTGTTTTGCTTTTCTTTCTCTTGCTAGTCYTCTGTGCGCAGAGATTTTTATTAAGCTAAGTGCATAAAAGTTGAGATACTGGCAAACATGAAGAAGATGCCTGATGAATCGTTTTTAACTAGAGCATTTACCGTGCATATTGCAGCATAGGCAAAATCCAATGTAGGTCAGCAGTGTTAAGATGCAACTGTTTTGCAAAGCAAGTACCTAACCACTGGGAAAGATTACATAGGAAGGGGATGGCTCCTGCATGCTTATAGCCTTTGAGACAAGTATTTGGTATTCTCATTCTTTTGAGACTTCCAACAGTAAAATAGATAAGGAACCAGTCATTTCATCAGTGTAACTTTTCTTGAGAGAGATCTCTGCTTCTGCCACTCAAACCTGCTGGTGTTTTCAGGTCGTGTCTGCAATCACTGAGAGTATAACTCAGTGAGAGAGAATAACAAACTCAAGGATATCTAAACCATCTCATTTTGGCTGAGTCAGCTGTCAAGTCATTCAGGAATAGAGAGCATTATTCCTGGCCAGGGTTTGGTAGAACCAAGAGTTACAGTGAATCAATAGTTATGCAGTGGAAACTGCTTCTTGTGAACTTCAAACAAACATCATGGTTGTCATATAAACTATGGTRAAATGGTTTTACTTACAGTAAACTATTGCAAGCTCTGCTGATGCCATTTTGCACTTTCTTCAAAGATGGCAACTCCTGGTTCTTTGATTTCTTCTTTCTGTAAAATAAAAAAAGTTCATATAGGACACTAAGCTACATGACTTGTCACACCCGTAACTCCAAAATATAAGCGATGCATCAAAGCTAACACCCCAAAAATGCTTAAGATTTTGTTCTGCTCTGTTGTATTTCAAGGGGTAGCAGAAAACACAATACGTGGACGGTCCACAAAGGGGCTAATGAAGACCTGGAAGCTCTTGTGGACTTCTGATGAGTAATACTGCATCTGGCAAACCTACAGCATTGTGTGACTGCAGTTCCCAGAGATCGTACAGGAGTAAGTATAATTGGTGGATGGTCAAACAGATATGTTAACAAAGCTCACAAATGAGAAGTTCTTCTTGGATCTTAAGAGTTTTCCAAGTGCAGCTAATGAAGATGAGCATGTTTATCAGTATGCCACACAAGAAAAGGGTAGCCTGGAGTGAAACTAGAAGTCTGAGTGATGTTCCCCTCATGGCTAAACCCTGCAGAGGAATGCCAGTGTCATTTTCTGTGTCTGGAGGGATTCAAAGCATTGCTGTCATGACTTACCATTTTTCTTGAGAAATAAAAGAAAATCAAGACTCTATATATTCACTAAGCCATTCATTGAAAGATCCTGAGGCCAGGCTCATTTGGCTGTCGCTGCTGGCAAACAAAGCACCCCATTGAAATTCAAAGGTTTGTGCTGGGAATATGAAATGAAAATGAGTTATGTGACAAGTATTATTGGGTCTTTCTTCTCAGTGTCAAAAAGGAAGTCAATTTATTGTTATGATTTGCCTAGGATCTTCTAGAAGCCTGGCCCCTCTGCCTTTAGGTGGGAACAGGCAGCAGGTTACTTGATTTGGCAGGTAATTCCAGGTAACTCCAAGCCTTAAACTTGGATCTCCTTTTCCTTTGTGGTGAGAGAGGAGAAAATAATGGGTAAAAAAAAAGGTGGAGGGAGTAGCTGTCCTGCTGGTGAGAAATCCTCTCCCTGTGTAGGAGCAGGTTGTCCACTTTCAGCTACAGCCACCTCCCCCACCTATCTCATATTCATCTTTCTGCCCTCTCTGGGGTTGCTCTTAAGTTCATGCTTTGATTTCATGGTGTCTTTTTCTTCCATAACAAAGTAGTGCAGTAGTACAAACCTCTGAAGTATCATAGATATACTTTATTATTAGTTTTCATTAATTGAGCTCTGGGTGATACCAACAACTGGTTAGAAAGATATCCACAGCATGAACTGATGTTGAGGCAGGAACCATCCTAAGAGATCACCAATAATTTGACACACAACCACTATGAGCACTGTTAGATGCTGTAAAAAGTGCATTTTTGTCAGCAAAACCATAACAGAACAGGAGCAATGAGCACCAGATGATGGATCTCAGATTAAGGTACTGTGAAGAAAAGTCTGAGTTTGTGTTTTCTAAATGATTTCAGGTCTAGGTATAAAAACTATTGAGTAAAATAAGGCAGGATGCTCCAGTGATCAGCAGGCTAGTTTTGGACCAGGCTACCCTGGATGCAGACTGCCAGTGTGATGTATCTAGCTTTTCATTGTAAATTGCATGCTAGCCATGCCCTTCAGGGGTAAGCACCAATGCAGCTTTAACAGCTTCCTTGAGATGCTCAGTTACCATGGCACTGGGATCATGTGGGCACTTTACTGTAGCAGCTTAACTAGAGTTGTAACTGTGAAAGATTTAAATGTAATTCCATACCACTTACATTGTCACCACTCAAATTAGAACACTAATCCCATAGGGATATGAGAAGTCACTGATTTAAAAAAAAAAATACATGGTAATTAAAGCTATTAGAAAAATTAAACATTTTTATAACCTCAGTTTCCCAGTTCTCCAGTGGGATTGTGATGTAGGCAATTTAAGATAGAGACAAAGGAGATGCACATATCTAGGAAGGTTAATTTGGGGCTGAAGTGAAGGTATCTATCCTGCATTATGAAAATTGTCAAGAGCTGCAGCTGCAGGAGGCAGAAAGAGCTCTGCTCCACTTGTCATGCAACTGCCCATATGGAAACACTTATTTGTAAAGAAGTAATTGAGAGCACTAATCTGATAATCATTTTAGATTTGTCTCTGAACCAAAACGTCTTTGTCTTTTGAGACTTAAATTTTACATTAAATATTAACAAAAGAACAAAAGCAATTTTTGCTGAGTGTTTGTCGTGTTCCAACAAAGTGCTCAGGGCAACATTTGCACAAATTCACAGTTGCAGGACAGCAAGAACAGGGAAGCCTGTTGGAGGAAACCAGAGTGTTTTTGCTCAGTTCAACAGTGCTAACAGTCTAGCCACAAGGTCATCTGGGCTCTAATAACTTAAAAATGAAAAATCACTTAGAGAGCAAAGAATGAAAGACAACTAGCTTGCCTCTACAGAGGCCAGTATTTAAAACAAAGCATTTTTGCTGGGCCACACGCACTGCTGAAAATCTCCCCGTGCTTATAATTCTGCACACAGTCATTACAGAGCTATGTGTGTGTCAGTATTCAACAACCCTACTTCTATTGCTTTGACAAATAGGCGATTGTAAATAATTTAAGATTGTAAATTGTCTGTGTCAGTGACTGCCATTTAAGATAAAGGAGTCTTTAAGTACACTAATGCAATTCATACAGTAGCTTGGAGTTCTAGATAACAGTTATTATTTTATTTCAACTTGTTTCTGGCTGGAGTAGCCTAGTGACTGCTAAAAAAGCATAATTCCAAGTGAACCTAGTTAGGGAGATTCTTATATCATTAAAGATTACCATTTTTATTCTAGTCTTTCTTGCACTGTTCTCATAAAATCTGAGCTCTAGATGTCTTTAGTGGAATGCTAGAAAAACAACCAGAATTGGTGTTCAGAAATATAGACATTGATTTAGCTGCAAATGCATATAACTTGTCTATAGATTATAAATATGGTGGCCATGGATTACATGCATGTATTTTAGCAATAGTTTCTTCTCTGTGGACAGTTAGGAATAAATGGAAAAAAAAAAAATTCAAAGAGGACAAAGGGATAATGGGCAGCTGAGGGAAACAGTTCAGCGAACAAAGCAGATCCACTCCAGTGGAGATCCTCACCCCTACACTTTCCGGATTATAGGGAAAGCCCAAACAACCACTGCCCTATGTGCATCAGGCCCAGGTCTCTTGCTGACATCTGTTTTCAGTCTTTTGAAAATCAGTCAGGATGGAGCCTAGGCAATAGTGTTAGAGTTAGCTTTCTTTTCTGCTGTTTTTGTGTTCAGAATTAAGGACAAATTGCAGTACAAACACTAGAATTCATCTAATGGGCACAAGCTAAGAGACACATGCACTCATGTTTTCTGTACCAAAAAAAAAAAAAAAAAAAAAAAGTGTGATCTAAATTTATTTGGTCTTTCCTTCATGTTTTGCCTAAAAGACATACCCCATGCTAGGGCATGCAGCATGCTTAAAGATGCTGAAATGATGCCTTGGACTGTGATGCCGTCCTGCTGCTTTGCTTCCTGCTTGGTCTCTAGTTAAGCTTGCATGTGCGCAAGGACAGCGCGTGCTGTGGAGCAATCACTGCTCCTCTGTGCTTTGCTGCATGCTGCAATGTCATAGCATTAGGGTTTCTTACATCTTCCTGGTTTATCTAAATGAATTCCTTAATGCAGGTGCAGGAAATAGTATTGCTCTTTAAAAAAATGCTACATGTTATGGAGCCAAGCAACGGGCGGGCACACGGTCTGCCTGCAGCACCACTTCGCTTCCTGATATTTAGAGCAAGGGATGCAAGGCAGTGGCTATTTATTGATTAAGGAAACAGCCCAGCATTTACCTAGTTCACTATTAGCTTCCAAATCTGATTTAAATATGCCTTTACAGTGTATAAATCCAGAAAAAAAGGCATTTACCATATGTTTATTACTAAAACTTGGCACCTAGTTGCTTCTAAGCAGTTTTCACACACAGACTGTTTGTTTCAAAACCTCTGTGAAGCAGGTATAATTAACAAGAGCACTTCAGGGGGAAAATGGGCTGAGAAAAGGGAGCCTAATTTCTTTACTGCTGCAGAGGGGTTTGAATTAGAAACAGTCTTTCATAGTTTCCAATTTTTTCCTTGCAGATGACTAGATTTGCATCTTTAATTATGATAATAATAAGACAAATAGTATCTTGCTAATTTCTTAAGGAAAATGCCTAAAACGTTTGTAAGTCTGGTTTAGAAATATCCAAAGAAACAGTGGTCCTAACTGAATGGAGATAGCTCTTCTCCATGGAAGATGAATTGCTGGATGCCATTTTGCATACAATTAACTTCCATCAGTCAGAACAAGAAGCATGTTCCAAATGCATCATTCATATGAACTTTATAAATGACCCAGTCTTGTGCTGCTGGCATAAGGCCATGTAAAGGACCTCAAAGGAATATGCAACTAGGATGAGATGTTTTGTATGAAACTTTTCCAACAATTTACATATCACCACTAGGACTCTTACCAAGTGTTCAGGGACTTTTGACTGGCTTTCACACTAACTTTGAGTTCTAGGGATGCAAAGGTAACTTGTCTTTTGTCATTTCAGAGTTTATACATGAGCAAGGCAAATTATAGGCTGATTTTGGTATTGTCTTGACTGCAAAACAGACCTATCAAAAGACAGAATTCACATACAGGTTTTGGTGTTTTGATCAAGCTCCTAAGAAAAATGAGCTTGACATTTTGTCTGTAAATGGCAAAAGTAAAAACTAAAAACCCAAGTGAGTTATGTCTCCTAACATGAAGAACTGTTTTTTCTTTTCTCTTAGAAAGCTGCTTTGCATATCTTACTAAATCTTTCTACTAAATACAGAGATTGATGACTCTCAAAGGAGTATAATTACGCAAGCTAGGCTTATGTCTTTATATTGGATTATTTATTACTTTTTATTTATTTTCTCCTATTGCCAAATCCTTTTTGAAGTGAAGTGTATGTGAGAGAGAGAGAGCACGTGCGCGCATGTGAGAGCGCAAATGTTAAGAGGTCAAGGAAGAGTATTTTCCAAAAGTTGGATTTCCTTCACCCCCTTAAAGAAACGTTAGAAAGGCTGTTAAAAGATGGATTGATCTTGGTAAATATGCATATCTGCTGTTTCACTAAGCTTCCCAGGGATTACACTCCTATCTGTGTACACTGACAACCCTGACACTTATGTTCGGTATAATACCAATTTTCTTACAAGTCGGTAAATTAAAAAAGAAAAATAGTTCATCTCTTCCACACACCATAACTACCAAATCTTTTGGCTTTTGGGATTCCTATCCATGAGAACATAGCCAAGTCTGAATCTC